GGGTTTTAAAAAAGGGGGTTGAGTAAAATAAATGTAAATTTACCAGCCCTTCTGGCTGTGATCTTGGAGCCATGCCGCAGTAAACGAATGCACACTTCCTTGTTGCAGTGGTTAACCATCCGCAAATGGATGCTTCTCTTGGTTTGGATTTTTACAAGACATTTCACCATGGTGACTATTAATTCCTCTTCTCAAAGTCTTGTAAAAGCTCTAGCCATACCAGCTTTGACCTTTTATTAAGTTCCCACTGAGTTTTAAGAGACTAACACACAGGTCGCTCTCAATGAATCAAATGACAAGCTTCTAACATGGCTAACAAAAATATCCCAGCAGGGAACAGAACCAGAGGTTATTTTTAAACATTTCCAAATGCCTCATAATGTACAATACAAACTTCCACAGCACCCATCTCAGTTAGCAGTTGCCAGCATAACAGCTGAACCACACACAGAGGCATAAAAATATCTAAGGCACAAAAACCATAGTGCAGTTAAAAAAGAGGCCAGCATTCATAGTCCTGTTATTTTTCTAAAATGTTTTAATATACCAGCAATATCAGTTCCCCACCACTGCCTGGAAAATATTTGTGAAACATGTAAATACAATGGAAAAATCCCATGCTGCACTTAAAAATCTTACTCACAAAGCAAGCCAGTGAGACCAAAACAGATTAATTTCTAGCCTAGAATAAAAACTTGACCTGCCCATGTAAAAGAAAGAACAGAAAATTTTTAAATCTGGAAAAAAATTATCTCTTTACATACTAGCTCCACTTCCCACTTGAGGACAGTTGTTGGACAGGTTCTTCTTGGACAGAAAGAAATAAAGAAATGTTGTTTCAGGAGGCTGGGCACTTCCCTGCTCCTGCCCAGCAGAGATATACAGGTTCCCAAAAAATCATGATGTACCTATGCTGGCTGCTGATAACTTGCTCCAGCACAACATCACACTACCCTAGTGGGAAAGAAACTCTTTCCTTGTACACCAAAACCACAGAGAAGAGACAAACTGGAAGGAGTGTACTGGTGGGGATGTAGTCTCTCACTTCCCAGAGTACTCATCTGTAATATTTATGACATTGTGCTACGTGAATCCTCATTATCTGACGTCCTTGTTCTCTTTGTACCAAAAAAACAGTGATGTGCATGCAAATATGTAGGAAAGAGAGGAGTAGGGGAGGCCTGAAAGAGTCTATTTTACACCCAGATGTTTCTGTCATAAAAGACATCTACTTCAATGACGCTTTTGGAAAGCATCTTTATGATGGCTCCTTTTTCTACACAGCCTGTATAGTACAAATGTTCAGCAGAGGTCCTGTTTTCTTCCTCTGCCAGAGCAAAGATTTCTCTCTTCCTTTCCTTCTCTGCAAACACTTTTTCTGGGTGTGAGGAAAGATCAAGTACCCCTTTGCATCCTATTTACATTTTGTCACCCCTTCAAAAGTAAGATTCTGTCTTTTCTCATTTTTATTCTCATAAGTGTCATAACAGGCAAAACAGGATGATTAAATTCTAACTAAAAGGGGTTGACTCTTCATTGTGTACACAGCTACAAAAACTGGAAAGCATGAATTCTTACAAAAATCTAATCGCCAGTGTGCTCAATATGTAAAGGAAGGCCTATACAAGGACTCGAGTGCCAGCCAGACAAGGCTGTGAAAGATTTCCAACATTTGAAACATTTCCAAATGCCTCATGACATTGCAAGCTTCCACAGCATCCATCTCAGCTAGCAGTTGCTCTAACAGCTGAACCACACAGAAGCATAGAAATATCCAAGGCGTCAAATCTTAGTGCAAGGGGAAAAAAGGCCAGTGTGTTCCTACATACTGATGTTGAGAAGTAAAATCTATCATTTATGTTTCATGTGACCATGCTTATGCAAAAGAGAAATGACTGTGTTAATTTCAAATTGCTCCCCCTAGTTTTATCTACACATAAGTAAGGGAGAAATCTTAAAATCTTACAACTGACTCAGAAACTCCTGGTCTATATTAACTTTCAGCAAGAGACCATGTAAAAAAATTTAAATAACTGTACTTACAAAAGTTTCACATGACTCTCCTCTACAACCAAATCTTACACAGCCAAGCACCCACACAGAGACAGACAATTAGACTGATAGTAGCAGGTGTGTGCTCATTCCTGTACATAGAATCATTAAGGTTGGAAAGATTATCAAGTCTGTTAACGCAGTACTGTTGTGTTCACCACTAAGCCATGTCCTCAGGCATCACACCTACACACCTTTTGAACACTTCCATGGAGATTGTTGATTCAACCATGTCCCTGGACAGTTTGTTCCAATGTCTGACCATCCTTTTGGTAAGGAAATTTTTCTTATATCCAAACTAAACCTTCTTAGGCGTAATGTGAGGCCACTTTCTCTTGTCTGTTATTTATTACCTGGGAGACAAGACTAATCCCCACCTGGCTGCACACTCCTTTCAGGGAGTTGTAGAGACTGCTAAGGTCACCCCATGCCTCCTCAAGACTAAACAACCCCAGGTCCCTCAAATACTCCTCACAGGACTCGTGCTCCAGACTCTTCACTCTCACCAGTGCCCTTCTCTGGAATCTCCTCTGGAGATTCTCCAGCCTCTCAATGACATTGTTGCAATGACAGACCCAGAACTGAACACAGGATTTGAGGTGCAGCCTCACCAGCACTGAGCATAGCTCAGTTCTTGCTCCATGTGTAGTTGAACACATTATGTTTCTTATAGTGCTGCTATACAGATTCTGTGGCTGCCTTCTTTTCCCATCTGATTTTGGTGAGACAGATTACTGCCTTTGTCTAGCACCAGATGTTATCACACCTACTTGAGTAGACTTTTTTTTTAAAGGTAATACCATACCTCTCCAGTCACAGGATATTAATGTCATTCTGACAAAGTGATGAAAGCTTCTTTTTGGTCACTTGATACTTCTGTGCTGAGATTTCATGCATGAATTATTGATCTGATAACACTGACTTTTGCCTTTTGAACAACAAAAATGAAAGTACGCTTCCCTGGGCCAAGACATACACAGAGATACCAAGGCTGTTTCATATCTGTAGCACACTAAAAGCAGTCTCCCAAGGCAGTTGTGTCAGTCTCAGGGCTGGATGCCTCCCTTCTCCCCACCTCTTGCTCATGCCCCCACTCCAGCAGAGGACCTTAGTTTACCCTCTTCATGAGCCAGTCAATAGTTGAGTCAGGCAATAATAGGAGACTGCACAGTTAACGGGAGTTTTGTTTAGTTTGGGTTTTTTTTTGGTTTTTTGGGGGGTTTTTTTGTTGGTTCTTTTTTTGTTTTGTTTTGTTTTGTTTTAATTTTGTTTCCTGGTGTTATTGGATTTGGTTTGTTTTTGTTGTTTTGAATTTATTTTATTCACTTTTTATTTGGTTTATTTTGTTTGGTGTTTTGTTTGTTTTTGGGGTTCTTTATGGGGTTTTTTGGATTTTTTTTTGTCGTTGGTTTATTTTTTAACTCCTTTTTCTAGTTCACACTGTTGTGATTAGTGCTGGTGCAAGGGAGAAGGTGGGAATCCACAGAAGTGGATGTTGGGAAGACAGCCAGCATCACTGCCAAAGAGCTGCGAGATCAGTTCAAGCTGCAATTTGATAATATAGCCACGTTTTCTGCAGGAAGAGACTGTAAAAGCCTAAATACTGTTAACTTAGCATCTGGTGATATTTAACAACATATAAAGTATGCCGTTAAATACCACTAGCAAATATGTCTATTAGCTCATCATAGTAACAACAATCTGTCTGACTAAAAGGAAATGTAATTTGCAAACTTACATAACACAAAACATTTAAAACAAGCACGGTTGGGTGAGCATACAGCAGTAAGTCCCCAGTTTCCAAAAATGGATTTCATTGCCTAGAGTTGTAAGTGTGGTTACAGGACGCAGGCAAGGACATGTGGTTACACAGAGCAAACTGCTGTTACTCTGCAGTGGTGGCAACTGCCCAGAGGAGGCACAGCAGTGGTACTTGGCTGCTGGAAGGTAAATTCTCAGATACATGTATTTCACAGTGGAGGTAAACAAGGAACTGTTAAAACTAACAGCTGCCACTACTAATTATAATAAGGTATGAACACAGACAATGTAATTCACCCTGTGCTTGCTATATTCATTGTCCAAACTCTGAGCAAAACATATTCATACAACTCCTATAAAATAAAATTAGGACATACTCCCATGAAAAGGAAGATACTCACTCAACTATATTCTGGTTTTATTGACCAGAAAAAAGCAACAGCAAATATTGCGTTTCCTAACCTCTGAAACAATTACTTCACTACATCTCAAGCAAGAACCAGTGTCAGATTTTGTTTGGTTGGCTTCATTTTTATTATGACAAAGGCAATTAACCTCATTTAATCTGGCAATGGTGTTTGTGTCATTGTTTGTAGTGACTGTATCTCAAAAAGAAAGGCATTTAATGTGATATTAAAAATATCAAGAAATAAAGAAATACATGCAAAACATTGTTATACAGAGTAAATTCAGACTGATCTTCCAATAGTCCCATTTTGTCAAGGATAAATAAAAAATCTTTCCTAGCTGATCTGCAAATAATGTCTTTTTTTCATCAAGGAAATTAAATTATCAGACTAAAGCAGAAAGAAGGAAAGAGTATCAAGAAAAACAAAATATCCAGTAGTTAACAGCCAGTTTTCACTCCTGAATGACTGCTGACACTATTCAAAAAAAGGTGCCATCTTGAGACTATTTCTTTCCTAAGATCCTTTTGCCTGAAAATTTAAAGATTTTTTTGAAACAGATATCAAATAGCAGTAACTTTCCACACAATATATCTCTCGTAATGCTAATGCACAGTTTCTTGAAATAATGATCGTTATTGGTTATCACATAGAGGGTTTTAATGATTAGGAATACCTAATGAAAATTATTAGATTTTTTTCCATATCCCAGAGTCAATATCACACATTTTTCTGTATACTTTGTAATAAATATCAGTGGGAATTGGGTAAGTGACTCACCTTCATCTAAAGGAGCCTCTTCCTCCTCACAGGGAGATGGAAGGAGAGGCTGCAGAGGTTCCATGTTGATTATGAGTTGCTTGTTCAAGGAGGGAGAGCTGCGACTCTGGTTAATGCTCGTTCTAAAAGAATGGGGAAAACAGGGTCAGTTTGCTTACTGGAAATAACTGCAGTCCAATAGGTCTCATCTCAGAATCATTTTGCATAAATTATTAGCCCTTGAACTGTTGTAAAAAGCTCTACACATTGAATGCCGCTTTCAGCTGTGTTGTGTTGCATCCTCTACAGATGTAAACAGTTCAACATCTGAAGTGTGAGAGAGGTTTTGTGCTGGTTTAGCTCCTTTACACTGCCTGACTTCCTTTCGTCTCAGGCAGGATTTCAGTGTGTTGCTCCTCTCTACAATGCACAGCAAACACTAATATTTGGATTCAAGGAAGGGAAAAGTTGTTCCATTGCCTCCAGAACTGGATAAAGGATTTGTTACAGTTTGAGCACTGAGTATCAAAGGATAAAACAGGAACAGCTGTATCCCTGAGGTTTACAGATACAGAATGCTCTCACTCGTGCCCACGCGCCCCAGATGCTGCCTCTACACCATGCCTCCCAGCACTTACTCTGGTTTTCATTCTTGTCCTACTTCACTCTAAGAGGCTTTCCTGGAAGCAGGTGTTAAATATGTTCTGGAAAGTTGTAGGAATACTGCTGATTTTCTTCAGTCATGATGCCTATTAGCCTAAAAATGTATTACTGAGAGTATAAAAAGGCTCTTTTGAATATGTTATCTAGGATTTGCATGATACAGGCCTGAAGCAAGAGTCCTGCAGTAAATCTTCACCATTATATTATAAAATATTTACTTTGACAAAAGCAAAGATGAAATGGAAGAGTACCCTACTTAACTTCAAATGGTATATTGATACAGTGCTGAAGTTTCACAAAATGCATTTCACGTCTGCACAAAAGGCTTACCTTAAAATTCCACATGAACAAACGGAACAAAGAACCTATTGCAAGTCAGAAGATGGAACTGTGTGTTGCTGAAGGTTTAGGTAAACTTGGGACACAGGTGTACAACTCTTAACCCACACTACCTATCAGTAAATATTCTGTGGGAATAAACAAACTTTCTTACTCAATTGACATGATTTCTTGTGCCATAGCACATACCCAAAGAGAATTACATCCTCATGCATATTCTTTTATAATTATTGAGTTTAAATTTTCACTATCCACAGAGGGTTCTCACTCAGGTTATTATAATTATAGTCACTCTAACCCAATGGTAAATCCATAGGCTTTTTATGCAATCACTGAACCTTTGTTCTTGTTGTAAAAAGCTCTCAAACAACTCTCAAAATACAAGTTGTGCCTGGGAGCACCCATAGGCTTCTGCTCCATATTTATTTACAAAGATCTCTCCTTCAGGCATACTCTGGAAGAAGAACATGAAGTTATTCATTTTGTGCTTGGCAGAAGAACTTGCCACTGCATTAATCCTGCGTGACAACACACTCCAACAGATTTTCAGTACACAGCGCTGTAAGTGTAACATCCAAACACAGAGATACTGAGCAATTCCCCCTCTCAACTGCATCTTTCTTTCTTAATGCAACCATGGTACAACTGAATTGACTTTGAGGGTGAGAGGATGGGGAGGAAAAGCTTTATATAGATGTATAGATATATAGATATGTAGATGATATATAGATATATGTTTACATTCAATCAAATATTTTTTTCTGAATGTATGGCTTCTGAAAAGCCATCATTTCCTATCCCCAAATCCTCTTTCAGAAAGTAACTTTTTTTTAAAATGTGACTCTTTTTTTTAGCTGAACATTTTCTGTATTTTTTGCCTACTTGAGCTTTTAGAAGCTTCAGCTACCTCTGTCTCCCATTTCACAACCTGAGCTATAAAAGCACCCGAAATCATTATATTCCTTAGTCTTTCTAAGAAACTGAACTTGGAGCTTCCATAATATAATAATGCAAGCTTTGTAAGAAGGTTAATAATAGAAGAGATACATTGCTGTTTATGGATGTTAAATCCATATGATGTTGCTTTATAAACTTATTTGTTCTCTGATCTGCTTCTTTATGTACACTAAGTTTTAAATTATGTGTTTAAAATCCTTCTAAATATAGAAATCAAAGAAAAGCAAAATACAAGATAAAAAATAAATGTATGATAATCTTAGCCTGGAACAAAGACATCTCTTGGATAGTAGGCAATAAGCTATTTCCTAAAGTGAGCAACTATTCTCATTTAAAATGCATGAGTGTGCCCAAGTACTTTTTATTGCCTCAATGATGCATCTATATTCTGCCTTCTGTGTTATCATTTAACACATTCTAGACCTTCACTTACCTCATTTGAAAATGTAATCTGGAAAAACATGTTTGAAATCATGCCTGCATGGCCTAACTATTAATTACACATAGTGTGGCTGGACAACATATAATAAATATTTACTGCAAATATATTCCCATCTTTTAGTAAAAACAATCCACTTTTGTCTAAAAAATAGACAGAATAGCAATATTCAATTAAAAATAAACAAAGCATATTCCCCCCAAACACGAAATCTCAACAAAAAAAGGGAATATGGCTCTAGAATGTTCAGACTGTTAAGGAACCTGTTTTTAAAAATGGTTTCAAATTGTTTTAGTTTTCCCTGACGGCCTCTTCTTTTCTGAAGAGCTTTCTTCAGGTTCTTAAGTGTTTTTACTGTCACTACAATGAGTGGTAAGGACCTGAAAGCATTAGTTTGTTTGCAAGGTCTAGCAGCTTATTTCTTACAAGCCAAATTTTCCTCTAAAAAAAAAAGATTCTCTAATATTTTTTTCCTCTTTACTGAGTGAACATCATGTTTTTTAATCTGACTGCATTATGGAAAAACTGTGAAGTACACTTTGAAACATACCCATAAACATATACCAACCAAGAACTTTCAAAATCAAACAAAATCTAGGAATGAAATTAGAGTGTACTTTTCTGTCATGATATATAATAACAGCTTATGCCATAACACAAAAAATAAGAAAAGTTATCAATCTGACTGATTAGTTAAACTCAGCTTCAGAGCAGCACAGATTAGGTTCTCCTTTATAGGAGACATTTGTCTGAATTTTGTAGCGTTGTCAGATACATTTTTCCTAAGGCTTGCATGCGTAATTTTGGAAGTTCAGAATGACAACCATTGCACCTGACAGAAAGGAAGGCAAATATTTCTGTAGAAAGCAATAATCCTCCCTAGTCCTTAAACTTTAATACTGAATGTTGAGACATACCTGTGAACTTCAGGAGGTTCCCTCTGGATTTTAGAGCTTGCCTCCACAACCTCTTTGGCTACTTTTCCACTGCATTAAAAGATGAAATTAATATTCAAGTAAATACTAAGATACATGCAAAGAACTACATAAATGTAGACAATTAAGTTACATTAAAAGAAAATTAAAATAAGGGGGGGAAAACTGCAATTAAGTATATACATAATGTTCCAGAATAAAATTGTGCTGAATACTTGCCCACAAAGCTACCATAAAAAGGGTAACTTCTTGTAGTAGAACACTACAGGTTGAACTGCCTCTTTATCTCACACCTGGTTCAGAGCTGCCCAGCTGCAGGGGGCATAAAATCTCTGCACTGGCCACAGTGCACTTTACAGAAGCTGCGCCAAAAGTGGAGCTATCTGCCAGTGGAAATACTCTTGACAGAAGAGTCTGTGTGAAAACTCCTGCTTAATTTTTAAGTGATGCTAAAAAGGCAACAGGAAGGCTTTCAAATCTTGATGTCAGCTAGGCATGAACAGACCCTTCAGCAGTAACAGCCCTGAATTTGCCATGAGCAATTACTTACATTTGCTTACTTCCTGAAATGATTTACCATTAATAAGAAACAGCAAATACCCACCTATATCGAAATCTACTGCCTTTAAAAAATATCTTGCTGCTGGACATTGTCTTGATCTGACTGGACTTTGCATACCTTGAAAAAAAATAACAGAGGCTGTCACCTTTTCAAGGACATGATAAGCAAAAATGAACAAGGCAAACTACAAGCTTTGTTATTTTTATACCATAAAGTAATATTCAAAAAATGAGCTTTTCAACTTTTTTAAGGCCTTTATACAAGCTAGACAATGAAGCATACATAAATTTATTCAGACAGCACAGAATGACTGAACATGGAACAAGTGATTGTCATGAAAACAAGAAAATTAAATGCAGACACTTGCTGCATCTCTATGAATTTTCCTTCCCAGGACGAAGGAAAGACCATGGCATTTCAAAAGCTCTGGGACATGTGTCCTAACACCAGCTTGTTTGTGGGAAAATATGGCTATTTCTGCTTTTCCACTAGGAAAACAAAGCAATAATAAAGACAACAACTTGTCTCCTGAAGTAGGTGCTTCTCCAATATCTCTATTCAGTCAACTTCTTAGTAGCCTACATCATACCCTACTGCTTCTCTGTAATCAACAGGTACACAGCAACCTTTTATCTTTATATCAAAGACCATGGAAGAGCACCTGCCGTGCCATTTCCTTGATGTTCTCTTGAAAAAAAGGCAAATTGATTTTGTACAGAGTCTCTAATTCCCAGGCCCTAGCAAACAATTGTCCATTATTAGTATCTACTTGAATAATTGCAACAGTGACCCCTGTACCTGGATCAAGACACAACTAAAGTTCTGTTTTTGAAAACACATCATGTGATCATGACCTTCCCTTAAATTCCAAGACTCAAACTCTTTTAGAAAGAGGGTAGGACCAAATTTAATTAAGGCAAAGTATCAATGCTGTGAATTATTTACTCAGTCTATGTCTGGTTTAATCTTATTAGAATATCTTGTTGGTAATACATAGAACTTAAATGAGAATTACCTAATGCTGCTAAATAACAGCCCCCACTGTACAACTCTATTTCTCTGAAATGTGTGGAAACATTTACTCTTTCAAAACTACTATCTTAAGGCTTTACTTATAGATGGTTTTGGATTCAGTTCCATGTTTGAAGCATTATTGTTACTTTTGTGCACTCTGCATATTAAACATTACAATTTTCCAGTCTATTGTTAACATCCCTATCCGTTGAGTAACATTACCAATCTTCATTTTATTAAAGAAGTCTTCTTGAAAGACCCACCAAAATTGAAACAGGTGGGCATAACTTTCAGCAATCATTGTGAAGGAATAATTCCACTCCATAAAGTAATTTGGAAAGTAGAAAAATAGATGAGAGAAACAGCACTGAACACACCAAGGTGAGAGAAGAACAAGGGGAAGGAGATGCTCCAAGTATCGAAGCATATTCTACCAACGGAGAAAACTGGGAGGAAGGAGTCTGTCCCTCTGCAGCCAAATACAGAACAGATATCCTCAGTGCAGCCCATGGGAGATCCTGCAGCAGGCCAACATGCTCTGAAGGAAGCTGCAGCCCTTGGAGAGCTCACACATGAGCTGGCTCCAGGCAGGAAATGTGGCCCATGGAGAGGAGCACAAAATGCAGCAGGTATATCCTGGAGGACTGCGAGCCCATGGGAAGGGCCCATGCTTGAGGAGTTCATAAAGGAAATTGGAGTAGAGGAAGAGTGTAAGAAGGAAGGAGCAGCAGAGAGGAGCTGCAATCTCCATTCCCCATCTCCCTGAGCTGCTCAGGACAAGAAGGACATAAAAGAGTCAGAAATGAAGGAGTAAAGGTGATCCTGGAATGAAATAGGGGAAGGGTGGTTTTAGTTCTGTCTCTGTTGACAAATTAAAATAGAGTGAAAAGGTTAAAAGGAAATTAAATTAAGCTTCTCCAATTCAAATCTGTTTTCCCTGTGACAGTAATTGTTAAGCAATCCCTCTATCTTTATCCTAAGCTATAGGCTATTTTATCATACCTTTTCCTCTTGACCTGCTGAGTAGAGGGAGTGAAAGAGCAGCATCTGGCATTTAGCCAAGATTAAACCCCGTAAACCATATATTTATGACCCAAATAGTTAATATTACAGCCATTTCACAACAAGAGCAAAGAGGTGGTATTCCTGTGAATCTCCCTGAGACATTTTTACGTTGAGCTGATTTCTACTCAAAGAAAGTAATTTGTCTTCTTTAGGGGGAAATTATCTCCTATTCCCTATTTATTTCTTGTAATATGAAATGAAATTACTCAAACACCATGCAGCATTTTCCTACTTAAATCTACTTACAACAGAAACTGTTTCCAGATAAACTTCAAATTAGTCTTTATTAATAGACTATATTTAGTCTTGATGTAGTCTCAAGCACAGTAAATGTTGATACAGAGAATTAACCAATGCATTTTGCCAGATCCTATTTCCTGTTTCTTTTTCCTATTCCAATTGAATATATCAGTTGGATAGATTATATATTATTGTATCACTGTTGAAATTAAAGAGTCTCTTCTCAAAATTAAAGCAGGTCATTAACATTCAGGTTAGAAGATACATTTTTCCTACTTTTTTATTTACCCTTACAGCAGCCCCCTAGTGTGGCTATGTGCCAACACAGAAACAGTAATATTTATAAAATATGTCAGAGGCTGTAAGGAAACACTAAGTAGCAAGAATAAAAGCTACATGCCTAGAAGGAAGCCTCAATAAACTGATCTAACAAAGTCAATGGAGGGCAGAAAGAATGCAAGGAGTTTTTAATAAGGAATTATTAATAGGCTCTCTTTCAGAGAATAGCTACTACTTTTTTTTTTTTGGTCACTTTACAGGCTTTTTATGTATAACAAGATCACAGGTATCTTTCAAAATGTATCTAAGAATATTTTCTTTTCTTCCCTAAATCATTAAAGAGAACTGTTTATTTTTCAATCTACTCTTACTAAGCCTTGAATTTCAAGTGAGAGAACAATTACCTCCTGGCAGAAGAAGCCAGAGAATCAAGCATGACAGATTTTTTTTTCTTTCATTCTCAAGATATTCTGCAGCTGGGCTAAGATTAACAGCTATGTTCCCAGACACAAGTGCAGTACTCTGTCCATTCAATATCTCACTACAGAGCAGCAAAAGCATTGTGCTGGAGCCAAAACCCTCCTGTCTCATTTGGATTTTAAATGATTTTTAATACTGGCTTGAAGTGAAATAATATTCCCCATTAACTTGCGTATTTTCTGTTTACATTTTGCCTTCTCTTGGAAAAATGGAACATTTCACAATGAACTATCTTTCACTCACTTTTTTCTTTACTTTTAGTATAGATAATGACTATAGATAATAGTGTACATACTTGTAAAAAGCCTGGTTCTCCACCCCACACTTCCAAAGATGCTTGCAGGCTGCTGGTGTAGAGGTATGGAATGACAGCACAGCCTTCTTCTAAATGCAAGGAAAAGAAAGCCAATGAAAGCAGTGAAAATGCTGAATTCTCAATGACTGAAATAGCTCTACCTGATGGCATCACCTTTAACCAGATACACTGAAGACCAAGTTTTCCTGTATAGTGTAAATCTGTGGTTCACCCACAAATGCACAATCCCTACATAGCTGGTATTTAAACTGATCAGGCAATTTTTTCAGAGAAAAGGAGATGCTTCAAAGGGGGAAGGAAGAGCATATGTACAAGTGGCCTTTAAAACAACCGTGTAACTGGACAAAATGAAATGAGGGAAATCTCTGTGTTCAACATTCTACATCACACAGCTGCTGCCCTACTTACCACCCACCTCTCCCTCCTCTCTGCCATTTGATGTCCTTCCATCAAAATCCCCTTGCAACAACACAAACAGTCTTGATACCTCTGGCATTATTTCCTTCCTTTTTTTTTTCCCCACCTCCATTCAAAACCATAACCTTAGGATATATCACTCTGATCTAGGGAAAGAGCTGATTATAACATGCTGAAGGCAAAAGTCTCTAGGATTTCAATGACAACAGCTCAGTGATAGGATCCTAATTACATCAGACACACTCTAACATTTTCAGCTTACCAAGATTTGAGGATGGGATTGTAATTATCAAAAAAAACACCTCACATTGATCCAGGTGGCAATGCTTACTTGAATTTGCAATTCATATACACACATGTTCTATACTTTAGAGTGAGTGAGTACAGCTTTAGCACCTAAAAATAAATTAAAGCTTGACTCCAAAGACATCCAAAACCATGAACAATCCACATAGCACAGCATGAATATTAAGTGAGAAATAGCTCAACACTTTGCAAATTAGACATTTTTTCAAAAATTACGCACATTCATTTATAGTCTCTATTTTAACTAAACTATTAAGGATATTAAGTAAAATTATTGATTATTTAGTAGTTTGTTTATTAATATGTAACATCTTATACTATCTTAAATACAGAAGTTCTGTAAAAATATTAAACACTACCTCTTTCTGAGCTCCAAACACATAAAATGTCTTCCCTTCAAATTTCAGTTTATAGACATCACACCTAGAAAGAGAAAAAATATTTAAGTATAGGAAAAAAAAAATAGATCTACAAGTAAAAAAAGTAACTAGCATGTAACTTTTCCTGATTAACAAAGTCAAGCAGGCAATCAAATTACAAAAGCCCTCTATGGGCCTTACAAGATTTAGGATAAAATTTTTTAATAGTTTGATTTTTTTTAGAAAACATAAGCCCAGAGTATTACTTTTACCTCCTTATGTACCTTCAAAGAATTAGCTTTGTCTGCTGGAAAGTGAAGAGGAAATTAAAGGTAGACAGAAGCTTATATTTATATTCTATTTATGGCACAGTTTGTAATTCCTCTTACATATTAAAATCTTACAATGTCTGTTGTAATTAAACTGAGGGAAAGATAATATTATTTTCTCTATACTTATTTATCTGAGGCTTCATATCACATGTCTTAGTAAAAGACTACTTATTAAAGAACACAACAAGAAGAAAAAGATAATGTTTAGCAGCATTTGTTATAGACAGGCTTTTTGAGTTGCAAAATCTATATCAAAATTTAATTTAATCAAGGTCAAGTGCTCAATCTTCATATGGAATAACAGTGAACCATAAAAAGGCAATGTCATACCTCTGTTTAAATTGTAATGGAAATTTTGTCATTACCAGAGTTTAAATGGAGCCACTGCTGTTTTTGATAAATTTCCCAAAGAGTTTTGGATGTCAGAGTTGAAACAGGAATAATCTTGGAGGCAAGGACAATGCTATACCTGAAACTTTATAACAAGTGTTTTCCTTTTACATGAGAAAACAAAAAAAAAAACATTGATAAAAGTTTTATATTGAAAAGAAAATCTCAAACACGAATTTGGGGTTTTATAATGTAGTGAAAATTTCAGCTAAAATTAGTTACATCTACTACCACTCACTTCAAGACCTATGAAATGGAAGAAGCAGTACACAGTGTTCAGATAAAACTCACCAGACTGACCTTCCAGTCTCTACTGTAACACTGACTTTATTGGCCTCTCCTCCATCACTGCTTTATTTTTTATCTGGTTGACATATTAATGCACTTAATAAGTATGCCTAGATCGCCCAGAGGATGCATTATCCTCAAGTAACATGAGAAGCTAAAAGCTGTGAGATTCATTTCCCACAGTATGGTGGGCACAGGCTTGGCGAGTGCTCCTCTCTCCTCAGTGTGCTGTAGACTGACATTACTGTTGTTTTCCTGTGCCAAAACCACAAACCACTGAAGTACTGTGACCATGGGTACCTGCAATTAACCCTGGGGAAACTGTACTGCAAATCCACTTTTGATAGGTGTATCCCCAGAGCTCCATATAGAACTCAATTGTACAGACAGGACAATGCTGATTTTACACTTCTGAGGATTTCAGGTTATTGAACATTCAGGGAAGTTTCTACAGATATGCAGCAAGGAGCCCAGTTTCACCTTTTTCCACCTTCTGCCTGTCTTGATCCCACAAGACAGGCTGAAAGCTCAGAGATAGAACAGTCACAACTGTTGTTGGCATGCACGTAGCAGCAGGGCTAAAATGAGATTATCAGTGTCTAAGCATGACTGGTCACTTTTCACCACGCTGCTGAGGGTGTGGCCAGCTGCTCTTAACATCATCTGCAGGAGCTCAGTTTTACCTCTTCCCCAAATGTGGCTGAGTGAGGCTAACAAATTAGGTAAGTCCAGGAGTTCAAATAAATCAAAGCCAGACTAATCAAGGACAATTGTATAAGTGCCCATTTCTTTTAAAAAGATGCTACAAAAAAAAATTCAAATGCATTCTCACCTCTACCTCCTCTGTTTACTGAATAAGCTCTTTTATGGTTTCAAATTGAGGGCAACTAAATGAGGAAATTGTAATATTTCCAAAAGTCAAATAAAGATTAAGGTGGACTCTCTGCCAGTAAACCTCACTTGTGATTTACAGATAGCTGAAAAATCAACTTATTCAGTTTCAGCATTTGTAAATTATGTTGACTAATGAACTCTGTGGAATAATTTTCTTTGGGAAAATTGTTGTTGTGTTGTTATTGTTGCAGTTGTAGTTGTTGCTATCTAAAGTCCTTTAAAACAGAAACATAATGGGGCAGGAAAGGTAATATTCACATGGTTCTCCTTAAAGACAACAAATGTAGGTGAAGATGGTAGGAAGAGAAGACACAGGAGAAAATATGCTTATTTATTGAAATATTCTTATCTTATAAAATATCATATGCTTACCATTTTAATAAATGAATTCTTTTATTCCCCTGGAAAACTACAAATCCTGCAGCTGTGAATCCTAAAAATGTAGTTGTCCCAAATGAGTCCTTGAAAGAGAAAAAGAAACATAACATAACTTTCCCCTCATCCAATGAGGTATTTCTTACTGATTTTTTACTGATAGCATGAATTTTTACTCCATTCTAGGTTACCTTTATTTTATTTTCCTCTTCAAAACAAATTTTGCCTTCAAAATATACACTTCTAAAGAAAAGGACAGCCCTTGAAATAAAGACCTCATTTATTTCTAGGCATGTGAGTAACAATATCTTATGGGTTGTTTCCATCTACATGTAGCTGATTACAGCAGGGACTCCTTAGGGTAGACTTACTAAATGAATTAAAAATGTACTTCTGTGTATGTCCAATTCTTAGAAGGAGGACTAACTACAAACCAGGGATTCATATCTGCTTCAACATGTATATTTTTTAAGATTTCACAATACACTGTTCCTCTGCAAGGTGTCATGTTGGAAATACTACTTACTGACAGCATTTACTAATATAAGCTTCTGTTTTGTTCTCATGTACTCTTTCAGTACGAAACAGAAGAAATAGTGGTGCTTGCCTTTCCAGTTGAAAAGAAAATTTTTGAAATATAGCTCCACTATAAAAGTTCTGGCTTATCATTTTTGCTAAATGAATGAGATGAATTTTGTATTAACTGGATTTTCTGTCCATCCAAAGTTCCATATCCTCATCTTGATAAAGGTAATCAACTTTATTATGCCTTATGTCTTAACACCAAAGTAAGGGGGAACAGAAACAGGGATGGTTCTGGAGCAGCAGCCATAGCCCTGAAAGGAGCATGTCATAAGGAGCCTGTGAAGAACCTTGCTTTGGGGTTCACTTCCAGAAGACAGACAAATTTTCCTTGGGCATGGGTGAAGAACCTCTGATTGGCCCTCACACTACAAGCCCTGCCACTCAGGTGAAGAAGTAATTCTGAGCCAGTTATGCCTCAGTTTCTGGGATGCCTTTTGAAAATCTGCAGTATAATTTCAAAGTAAAGTTTACTATATCACTGACTTCATTAAGCTCTGAGCTCAACCCTGTCTTTCACACAGGAGCACCATTCCTAACAAAGTATATACAAAATCTTATGCAGTTTTGTGTTAGAGCTGACTGCTTAAGGATGATCTCCACCAGAACAGCTAACTAAAACAGTACTGCTGTCCAGCAGAGGAGATAATACATAGGTCAAAGCGAAAACACCAGTTAAAACACAAAGCAGGTCACTTTAAAAATAAACACCTCAGATGATACAGATGCAATCAAGTAATTAAAAATGCATGCATACAAGATAATCAGAACTGGTAATTAACATCACCATCTTACCAAGGACCACAAAATAACAAAATGGGAAGTGGGAATGGGAAGCGGGTTTTCTTCCTTGTACCTTTGGCTTGCTCTTCTTACTAAGATTAGCATATTTTGATGGTGTTTGAAAAACTGATCTGCCATAGACTATCAATGTTCTGCATTTTCTTATCAAAATAATGGTGAATCCTGAAAATTTTGGCAGACAAAAAATATTTCATACCTGTTGTAATTAAAAGAAACCTTTGCAGTAAATGCTAAGAAATTATGGACTATTATTAGAGCTTATGCCATTACAATCTCCTAAATACTCCTGTGATGTTCTTCTGCTTCCTCTGGAGAGGCCCATTTTTGACTGATGCACCAATGTTAGCCAGTCAGTGTTCTTCCAAGGCAAGGCCTAAGCACAATATGTAGTTCCAGGGCAGCTTTTTTAGAAATTGCTCCCTATTTGTGCCTGGATAAAAACCAGAGCTAAATTAATTCCATTACTGTCTTTTAACTAAATGTTAGCAAAAATCATGTTTTATTAAAAGTTAGTAAAAAGAACTGTTACCTTGCAAGGATGAGGATCAACACCATAAGTTTCCAAAGAATTTGCTTTAAGAAGCAAGTTAAATTCAGCAACAGCTGGGCTCTGACCTCTGAAATTACAAAAGAAAAAGGAGTTTGACAACAAAAAGAAATAGGAGAAAAATACTTATTGACTGGAGAATTTAAATGCCTAGAGATAGAGGAAAGGAAAGATTTTACTGACATTGAAACTATTTCAACAATGTTTGGTTTGTAATCAAAAGAAAACTTTTCATATAATTTCTTCTGCTGAATTGTACAGTGCCTGATGTTTTCAGGTAAAATCTGACGATTTTTATAAATCCTGAGATAACAACAGCAGAGTTATCTCCTATTTTGAAAGTATTTCTTGTCTTTTGATATACCCTCATGTCAGCCTGATTATGAAATAAACCTCAGCATCTTTTTTCCACAAACTCTTGCTCCCCATTTCATTTAAAAGGATTGTGCAGATTAACAAACATTCCTTCCAGTGCAAGGTATAAACACAGCAATCATATTACACTGCCTACTCAGATGTATGTATAATTATAGCAGTGCCTGCTACCAACATGATAGCTCAGAATCTGTCAGCATTTCCATTTATACATCCCTATTTTTAGGATGTCTATAACCAACAATGAATATACACTAAAGCCTGAAACATGACAGGAAGACTTGGGGTGTAGAGTAAGTTTCATATGATATCTGGTAAGTACTGCCATTACAAGCTCTAACACAGATTTTCAATGTCCATTTGAAAGTGAACTGTTTCAAGTATTATATAACTGTATCTGTATGACTAGAGTACATGATTTTGAAAGATAATATGGTTTTATGATAATGAATGGTGCCTAGGACCTTTAGAAAGCCAGACCTCATAAATACTTTCCATGCAAGTAATTAAAAAAAAAAAGTAAAATAAAAATAAAAATAAAAAAACAAGAGCCATAAAAAAAAATTTCAAGAAGCATAGTGATGGTCATACTTTATTCTGCCCCTGAATTTTTTTGGGAGTCTAGCCTCTCACCGCGAATTGTACATAGGAATTGACATTTAATACTTCACTGTATTTTGTAGCATAATTTCTCTGAAAGCCTGTTACTCCCCATCAGGTAGAAACCAACAAGTATTGACATATGATATCCAGCATCTGACCTAAAGTTTAGTTTAATAATTAAAAGAACATCTAGCATGCTTGTGGACATCCTGTTTTAAACATAACAGGATGATGACCTGTGGCAATGTAAGTATCAATAACCATTTCTGTAACAAAGTTCTAAAATTGCTCATTTTTACTTCACTGTTTATCATCTCCTAGTCAACCCCATGATATTTCTTGAGATTCTTCAAGATTTATTTGACACTACACAACCTTCACTTTATTTCAGACCACATTTTTGTGGATCTTTTCCTTCTAAATTAAAAAATATATATTAGAGAAAAAGTGGCCTCCTTTGTCTTTCCTGTTTCAGTCTCTTTTCTCACCACTTGCCAGTGAGAAGAGCATGTATTAAGTGGAACACCAAAAATTACAAATGTGTATTTACACAGCTAATAGTTAAGGAGAAAGCAGCACAAAAGCAGCAATCAAAACAAAAATGCTTATTTTTTCACTCGGTTTTTTGGTAGCTCTACTAAGCTTTTGCTCCATTTTAAATACTACTGAATCACAACTTTATATGCCATCACAACTGTAAGACCATAAATGACCATAAAATACAACAATTTTATTTCATGTACCAGTCAACTGCATTTGATATAAGTAATTGACTAGTTTGACCTAAATTTCTTTGAATAGGTATGTTGCAAAGTGAAAAGCCAAATGAATAGTTTGGTTGCTTATTAAATATTGGGACTTACAAATACAAAGGATTACAAAATGCATTTTTTAATCCATCTCCATTTGCTGGTACAAAGTCAATCTTCTGATTTCAGTGGACCAAAAAGTGACAAGTAGTTTGCAACAAGGCCGTTTGGGGAGTTGGCATATTGAAATGGGGAAAAAACCTTAACTTGCTATTACTATTAAAGAGACATTAAAGAAAGTATTATCAGGCTCCCCTCACATACAGCCTTTGCAACTATGACGATTTTGTGTGCATCAAGTGAAACAAGCTGTGGTATTTGGGGAAAAAAAAGCAGAAGACATGGGCAAATTTGATCTTATCTGATTACAGACTAATCAAATGGCTACAATGCAAAGCCTTAAAAGAACATCACACAAAGCACAAGAGTCAAGGACAGTATCAAATAAAAAAATCCTCATTAATCTCTTATCAAAGGATTATCTTTTAAGCCGTGATAATATGCTTTTTTGTGTGTAACTTAGTAATGAAATTTTTCTTAGTAAATAAAAATATAACTGTAACAAATCCTTTCAGCAAAGTCAACTTTTTTTTACCAATCACTGTTCTAACATTAGGTATGCCTTGGCTGAACAGCCCTTAAACTTTCTATATACAACAAACAGCCCTCCACAAGAATTTATAGTGTACTCACGTATGCAAGTGTTTTACAGTGGAAAAATGGGGAATATTTAGGCAATACATATTTGCTTTGGAACTCAGTACTCTCAGGAATTTCAGGTCTCAGAGCATTTGTTGCTCTTGACCTTATTTTTCAGTATTAATTCAGCATTAAGGGAAAGATATATTCTCTTTCTATATGTTGCAGGCACTACAGCATCCATCTGTCACATGGCAAAGATATTGAACAGGAACAAAAAAAAAAACAAACCTACTATTCAGAAAAGTTTCTGCATACCATACAAATGATAAAAAGCCGATTATTGGTGAAATTAGAGTTCCACAGCCACTAGCTGTGGAATTCATTATTCAACCTCTAGAAATCAATCAATCCAAAAGCTACTAATGAAATTTTAATGAAACAAATACTTCAATAGAACACTGAGATGTATGCAACACACTCTGTTTTAACTTCAGGCTCATGAGAAGTATGCACTAGAGGATGTAAAAGCTCTTTTTATTGCCCAAAGGTCAAGGAAGCTCAACAGGGAGTAACTTCCAGGGTGTGTCACAGTGGTGGTTTACTTCCTTCACTCACTGCCCATACCAATTCATTCCCATACCCCTTCATACCTTTCCTTTGAGGTATGTATCTGTTACACACTAAAGTTATACATCTTAGTGCAAGTTAGGGATGAAATAGCACAGGATTGAGCATTAACTCCTTTTGACAAAGAAGACCATGTAGCAAAAACAGCAAAGAAAAAGCATTTTCAATGCTATTCTCATCCCCTTGGTTCCTGAGTGCCATTAGTGAGGTAATTTGATTCATCTCCTCTGATTTTCTTACTGACTTATAAAGTGCTGTGAGATACTAGTGTTAATAAACTAGTAATAATAACAATTACAGTACACCCTTTTGCCTCATCTCTATGTCAAGAAAATGTACTTGCTGCAGAGTAGAATAGCCATATTTCCTAGCGTATTTCCCATCTATGTTTAATTTCTGGACATTTGCAGTTAGTATTAATGTCTTTTAAGAAAACAACACATAAATATGTGCATAATGGTCTGGCCTCTAGAGACATTACATATTCACCTCCATGCAAACCAGAGACACCAGCCATGATGCTTTAAACAACACAGGCTCAGTCTCCATCAGCCACTCTGCTCTGCCCTGCAATCTTGGAGATATTTCACTGCGATCTCAGGAGAGACAACAGTAACAACTTCAAGAAGGATATTCTCCTATTAAATATTCTTGCTGTTATATCCCACATCTTGTAGAGAGCATCTCTCAGCAGAACTGAGTTACCCGGTGTTCCTTTTAACCTAAAGTAATGCTAGAGCTCTGCTGAAGCATCAGCACACTTAGCTGCACTGTACACTGAACACAGAATTGATTACCACATGAGTAAGTTTTTCCTGTTGAATCTTTAAATCTTTTTACACATAGCTGAGACTCCAATTGTTATAAAATTAAAGTGCTAATGGTCTTGATCAACTTTTACATTAAGCTCATAATATTTTGGCAGATAGTGGAGATATTTTAAAATAAAGTCTTTTTTGCTACTATTTTTAGTCACAATAATGGTGCTATGTGGAATTGGAATAAACCTGCTGTGATTGCTAGTATTTTAGTTGTAGTGGAAAGAATAGCACAGTGGTGATGATAATCTCAAAGAGAAGCACTAAATGATGACGCTGGTAAATGAAATTGCACTGTAGGCTGTAGTTCAGTTTACCAGAATAATAAGGCCAGCATCAGCACATTGCCCAAGCAGCAGTGCAGCTCCCCAGGAGCTGCCCAATCTGGCACTGGCACCAGAAAGGCTTTAAATGAGTCTGTATATGGAAAGAAACATTATCATCTAGGAAGTCAATGAATTGCTGAAGATTGCTGAAATATACTAAACTTAGAAAGCTGCAGAACACTTAAATATCAATTTTAACTTTTACTGCAAAGCTGTTTTTCTCTCAGACAGATAAAATCCCAGTAAAACCCAAATAACCACTTTAAAGCAATAATCAAACTCTTTTACCAGGTCTATTAAATGCACACATGCTGTGATGGTATGTGTCACTTACATAACTCCTTCTACCAGAACATTTCAAATTTCTTGTGCAGCTTCAGGGATCAGACTGAGATGGTGTTTCTGAAGCCTGTGTTCAGACATTTGTATTTCAGCTTTACTTCATAAATTGATGCAGTGACACAGACAGCTTTAAGTGCATTCAAAGACAGGACACATTTGCAGAAGAGATGCAGTTATAAAAACCCCATGTATTGATATATTTTTTTCAGTTTTCCAAAAGAGAATGGGAAAGACAACACTTGTCTGTGAAGTTCCTTTCTCTAGATTACTGTTACAGCTGCCTCTTCCACTAAATTCCCACTCAGGGAAAGCTGTGTCTCACCATAGAGCTTCTGGAAATATTCTCTGTACCACGCAAACATTAAGCGAACAAAAAAATATCTTGCCCTTACTATTTTCTAGTTAGTGAAACCACAATTACAAGAACAGTTCCTTGATTTGAATTGGTTTTAAGCACACTTCTGTCAGAAGAAATACGGTTTAGAAGGAAAAAGCTTTGAGGAAATCAGCACACATGGAATGCTTCAG